TCAAACTGGCAGGATTTTCTGCAAAGCCCACGCAGGTGGCCCACAAAGACCAGGAGAGAAAAATCGTATATTCATTTAGAATAGACTTGTTAACATTTGTTGATTTCCTTAAAACAGCAAATGCAATTAAAATTCCAGGGTGCCTAAAATCTAATTGATATTTTTATGTACACAATTAATGTAAATAAACCATTTTTTTTTGCTGCTGTTCATAATGGATACATCAAGCATGATCCTGTAAGTAGTATAATCCTTCCTCCATCAGCACTATTTTTATGTGAGTCATAAAATCTTGAAATCCAAGCAGAGAGCTGAGGAACTCAACTCCTGAAGTTGTAATGGTCTTTGGCTTTTGTACATCTTGTCAATTGTTCCTTTGTAAGCTTTAGAATGAATAAAATCTTTGTCCTTCTGTTTTTTGTTAAATGCAGGAAAGTCCAAGAAAGGTATGACAACCTCTTTGTGTGTTGTTTTTGTTTCCAACAAATACTGAAAGGTCATTGTCAAGTCATCTCTAAGAAATGATCAGATTTTAAACTCTACAATGTGGATTTTTAGTCTAGTGATTATTCCTCTATCATAACAGAGAAAATATCATTGCATATTTGCAAGAAATGCAATGCTAGGGGCAGCTGCTGTTCAGTCACAGGCAGCTGCATGACTTTCTTTGTTTTGGCTTTTTGTCCAAGGTCAAATCCTTCAGGAAACCTGAGCACTGGGGAAGCATTGCTTTGTAAGACTCAGGATCTATATAAAGAGAAGAGTGGGTATTGTGATGTCTGTAGGCTAAGTAGAAAAATATACTTTTCCTTTAGAAAAAAAAGTCAGGTATCAAAAATAAAGCAGGTTACAGTGGGGAGATGGAAGGATTTAAGTGCCTCTCACTTCCTTTTAAGCCTATTTTGTTAGAACGACTTAGTGGAAAGTGAAGAAGAGTTTGAATGACTGGCTTGAATAAGTAAGATGGTCATTACTGAAGCTAGGTAGGATGTCAGGATGTCAGGCTGTCAGGAGGCTGGTTTGTTGCACTGTGCTTCAAGTGGTTAAGTGGCATTCTTTAAACTTTAGCTCTTAAAAACCGTTTACTGTTGTCTGCTTGGAAAAAAAAGAATTGTTTTATGCATATTATCTTGTTTATATTTTTCCCACTTTCTGGTTGATGAATATGTGGAAAAAATTTTTCCCTGTAACAAATCTTTTTTGACTAACTATGCATGTATCGTAAGGCTGTTTCCTTTTTGTAACTTCTTGAGTTTGTCTCTGTAAACTTAGATTTAATCTAAAACTATGAACCTTATTCTGTATTAATCTGGTAGTTACTAACACTATAAAGGCTGCATGTTGGAAGTGTTATATATCTCTCCTGTCTTCTTGTCATCCTTTGTGATCTCATATCTTTTTCCCTTTCTCCATCATTCTCTACCTTCATTCCTGACTTGTCCTGTACCTTCTTCTTCGGGCTGTGGACTATCATTAGGAAGAATGAATTCCTCAGCAGGTGAGCTACCATAGGAAACCTGGTTAGTTTTACTCCCTTAAACCTAGGCTATAATTTAAAAACATGTCATTTTCTTTATAAGTCCAGATAACCATATAAAAATGTGTAACATTCATTGACAAGAATGTTTATATATCCCACAATGGTTAATTCACAAAGGGGTTTTGGGGTCCGATTAACCAGAATACACAGTGAATGTACCTTGTGCATGCAGTCTACAGGCTTTCAGACAAGAGAGAGCAGAGCTGGTTTTGTTTCCTAATGTATACTATGAGATGATCCTCAGATATTATCAGGTCTCTTTTCATAAAGCTTCTAAACCTTTCAAATAGCTATATCTGCCAGGGTAGGAACGATTTAGTGTATTTTCAAGCCCATGTTTACTTTTTGGTTTCTTTCCAAGAGCTATATAATTAAAACATAAAACCAAAAACCAAGTAGATTTGGGTTGAGAAAGCCTCATTTTTCCCCAGTTCAGTTCTTTTGCCCCATCCCAATGAGGAAGGTGCATTCCACTTCCTTATTTGGCCATTAATATTGGTGGAGTTTACAGATGAAAAGTGAATTCATTTAATGACAATTTCATGACACCCACATGCTAAATACATGGTGACACTGCTGAGGAGGACGTCTGAGTCCCCTCCCTGATGAAGCCACCCCTGAGTGACAGCTGAGACAAGTCCGTGGCTGCTCTACTTCTCTGTGCACCCACAGCTCTTCCTGGGCTCTGCCTGGCACCCTCCTTCAGTCTCCTTCTTGTCTATGGTGTTTCTTCTACTGAAGATACCTGTGTCTTTCGATGGCCAGGCCAGAGCCTGAGTCCCTACACCAACTCTTCAGGCACACTTGTGTAGTGCCAGGGTCACAGGAGAGAGGCCCATGCCTTTACTGAGAATGGCAAGGTAACTTGTGTTTTTAAAAATTTGTTCAGTAGGGAGGAGGCTGAGCCCGGTGAGGGTTGGGCCCATTATGATCATGAAAATGTTGCCAGTAGGCAGAAATTTGTAGCTCCATAGGGGAGCATTCCTGCTCTCACTGGATCTGCAGGAACTGAAAGTCCTGTACCTAGATATGGTGGTGTATGCCTGTAATCTCAGCACTCTGGGAGGTTGGCCAGAGGATTGCAAGTTCGAGGCCAGCCTGGGCAACTTAGCAACTTAATGATATCTTGTCTCTAAATAAAACAAAAAGGGCTGGATATATTGCTCAGTACAAAGGCCCTGGGTTCAATCCCCAGTAACATACACACACAGAGGCCTTCATTGGGAAAGATAGCTTCCTTAGCCACAGGCTTTGTCCTGTTGGGTGTTTATTCTGACACTGGAGTGGCTGGAGGTTCAGACACAGTCAAACCTCAACAAATAGTGAGCTGGTCTGGGAGATTTGTGTTGACAGTCCTTACACAGTGCCTGGCATAACATGGGTATTTCCTGTGTACCCATCTGAAAATGTTGAATCATTATAGTTTACTGCCTCTCTCACCTGGAGGTTATAAATTCACTTTTGTATTCTGTGATGCTTTTGAAAACAACAAACCCAACCAAACAAAACCACAGCCCAGGAAGATCAGAGGGGCAAGGCTACAGCTGTGTGGGGAGCAATGCACACACGTCTTTCAGCTTCTTGGGGAGGTGTTCATTGCCCATGGGGACTGGCTCTTCCTCAGTAAAGGTCACGGCGCAGCTCATTACCAGGAACATCATTCTTGTGTGTTTGAAACTACATGGCTTTCTTCTAGGCATTTTTCATATGAGAACAAGGAAATGTCTTCCGTGTAAGGCAGTGCCAATGTGCAAGCTTTGTATGCTACACCTTTTTTTTGAAATCATAAGGAAATATACATGTGTAACTTTTCGAGTAATTTCTGGTTTTTTTAATCCTTTCATAATGAATATTTGGAAACAATTTAAAAGGAACACTTAGTAATTCCAAAAATTCAAGTATAAAAGGTAAATATTTGAATAATGAATTGTTTTTGCCTTTCTTTTTAAAAAAGTACAAGTTCCACACTTAGGAATGCACTGGCCTAACTTAATACTTTATGCATTAATCATTACTATAAACTATATTCTATCTAGTCTCATGGTGTGCTTTTATGTTTTGCATTTTCCCTTAGCTAAGTGATATGTACAATTTTTGTATATATAGTGGCGAATTATCCGAAGGAAACTTACTTTCTCAGAAATTCATTACTTCAGTATATCTCATTTAGATATCTAAAACTGCTCCAAATACTAATTGCATGAATACTGCATGAAGCTAAAAATCACTTTACAGACACTTTGGGTGGATAATGTATTGTTAAAGCATCACAGATGTGGCTTCTGTTTCTAAATGGAAATGGCTAACAGCTGAGGAAGCTGTCTGGCTTCCCTTCTCCAGTCCTCTTGCCTACTTTTTGGCCATTTTATGACGAATTAAAGCCATTTTATGACTTATTAAAAGACAGAAGAAAAGAAGTGGAATTCAAATGGTCTAATTGCAAACTCTTAATAGCTCTGGTGTAACTCCCTGGATAGTGGAGGCTATCAGGGAAACATTTATCGGGAGAAAGAAATTACAAACTATAGAGACATTTTAAAATGAATGTAGGTATTTATTTACTAGTATAATCCCTGCTTCCTGAGTATATGACAGAGAACTGAAAAGACAATTTGATTTGTAATGCCTGAAATCAACATTCAGAGACCAAGCCATAGCAGTAACTTAATATGCCAGCTATGAAGCCAGTAACTTACTGTGCCAGTGTCCAAGTACCAGGGTTAAAAAAAAGTCTTACTTGTCATGTGTTTGATATTACAGATGCCTACATTTTCCAATAGTTATCTCTAAATGGGTGGTAAGAGAAGAGGATTAGATACACAGTGATTAGGAACAATCCATTCATTGAAAGGATTATTGACCCTGAATGTTTTAAATAAGTAATTGACAGGTGAGGAAAGAGCCAAAGAGAGGGAGGGAGGGAGGGAAGGAGGGAGAGAGAATAAAGGAATATGTGATTTGGATCTTAAACATATTGAAAACATTAGAGGTGGTACACAGGTTTCTCAAATCCTCCACCTGAAAGGTCCTCCACCTGCTGTTTTATGACCAAGTTGAGTGCTCTGAAATGTGAATAGCATTGACTGCACAGTAACCCTGGCATTGCTTGTCACTAGGATTCATCTCGTCTTCACTTGAACACTGCTATTTCATATTTCTTGGTTTTTTCTTCCATTGTGTTGAATGTGTGCCAGTGTGTTATTCTCCATTGTACTGAGTTACAGGAGTGGGATAGGAAGGTGCCAAGTGATCACACTGACAAAATCACCCGCAAGACCACTTCTTTGAAACCCTTGCTTACACTGAGCATGATGCTCTTTCTTTGATCTTTTTGGCTTCAAAACAAATTAGACTGGGGCTCATATTTCATATGGAAATGTTTCTGGTTGTTGGCTTGAGCCTGTAGACATATAAGATTATAAGACTGATAAACGAGGTGTATTTATGGCTCTTTCCTTAGGTTATAATCATCAACAGATGAGTGAAGGACAAAGACAGAAACCTGAATTTTACAACCGCACAGCATCAGAATCAAATGTCTATTTGAATAGTTTCCACTACCCTGATCATAGCTACAGGGACCAGGCCTTTGATACTTTGAGCCTGGACAGCTCCGACAGCATGGAGACCAGCATCTCTGCCTGCTCACCCGACAATATCTCTAGGTAAGATCCATTTGTGGACAAGACTTCTTGTTTGGAAAAGCAAGGCTGACTTCAAACATACAGTCAAGCCAGGTACAGTGGTGCACATCTGTAATCCCAGCTATTCAGGAGGGTAAGGCAGGACGATTGCAAATTCAAGGCCAGCCTGAGCAACTTAGTAAGATACTGCTTCAAAAAACAAATAAAAAAGTGTAAAATCATCAGTTTGAGACATTATATATGTACAAATTCAAATTTTAAAAATGTATTTTCCCATATTTTTATTTTATGAAAAAAATAAAATTTCATGACAAAATAATAACAATAGTTAATATTGTTATTTTAAAATAGTTACTCAGAGAACAAGATGTAAACTGAAAAGATTCTTACAAAGAAGAATCAGATAATAGCACAAAACGTTTTCAACTAGGATAGAATAGTAGTATAAATGAGACATATTGGCATATATATGAAAATAATTTTGAAACATAAGATACAAAGAGTCAGTGCATAAAAGAGGTCCACATCATGGCAACCATTAGAAGTAGTTTCTTTGTATCATGTATGACCGAGCCAGATATGCAGACCATTTTCCCACTTGATCCTATTTCTTTATACTGAAGTTCACATTTACACCGTGCTTCCAAGTCAAGTTACCTCTGTTGCTGGACTCTAAACTTCATTTGAACTGCTTTTGATTAAATAAGAAATAATTCCCAATAACAGAGCCAGAACTTTAAAGGTTTTTTTACCCTTATGCTTTGTTGGGAGGAATGGCTTAGTTATTCTGTATATTAAAAATTTTGTAAGGATTTACCGATTCACATTTGTATTCGTACTTCGAAGCAAGCGAAAGTGGTATTTGGGAATTAGGGCATAGGCACATGGAAACTGTAAGTTCATGAGAGCGATTTTCCCTCTTCTGAAGCTTGGTGATCCTCTGCTACCTCACAGCAGCCACCAAGAGGCTGGCATCGCGGGTCTGGCCCTGCCCTCCCTTCTCTCTTCACAGAAATTCTTATTGATGGAGAGGGTGAGGAACTCTCAGCTTTCTCTGCCTCTGACCATGTCAGTCCTTAACATTTTCTCCAAGTATGAGCACAGAGTTGGGGTTAGGAAGTTAATGGAAGCAGCAGTAATAATGGGTGTTCAGAGTACTGGTCTATGAGATATTTCGATGATTTTAGCAGAATGGAGATTTGGTGCAGAATTTACTCTCAATTGCCTGTTTTCCAAGGCCCAAGACCTATTTTCTGAGCTTCATGTTTGTTTAGAGTGTAAATAATGATACTCAAAAAGTAAAAAGGTCTGGCTCCAGTAACTTTCTGGTAGTCAAAAAAATGATGTCTCAACATAAAGCAAAGGGCAGATGTACCCACAACCAAGTAATTCTATCATTCTTCAAATGGCTTTTTATGACATCATAAGCCACAAGACCAACTTTATGTCACTAAAATTTCAGCATGGAATTACCTCTTTAATAGACTTATAATTTTGGTATATTTTAATATATAATTTTAAGAAATCTTGAACACAGCAGTTTTTTTAGTCCTTTATTGTTCTTTATACCAATATTCAACAAGTTTCCACCTCAGGATACTTTATCATCACATACATTCTAAACTTTTTAGTTTCTTATTTCTTGCTTTCCTAGTGTTTATTATGTTATTTTCCACAACAATGAGTAAAAGCATCTGATTATTTTAAGGTAAATGGGGACACAGAAGACAAACATCTATTTTTCTCTCTCTCCCTTTTACATTTGACTTTTTAGTTTTCATTCTATTTTGTCTTCAACTTTTTTATATTTAGAAGATCTGATAGCACAAGGAAATAAACACAGTAATTTCTGCCCATGATGTGAAGCAGCTATGGACAGTTATCATGGTCACGCACAACTACTTGCCAGGAATGGTCATTCTGCAATAATTCTACCAAAGAATTAAGGTGTCTCACCACACACACACACACACACACACACACACACACACATACACACAAGTGGGAACTATGTGAAGTGATGAAAATTTTAGTTTGATTATAGTGGCCAGTTCACAGTGTATACAGATATCAGACTGTCATGTTGTACATTGTAAATATGTACAATTGTCAGTTACATGTATACTCAGTAAAGTGGAGAAATTAAAGAAGTGATAAAACATGTGCAAATTCCTTGCAATGAAGTACTCATTAGGTACTACAAACAGGTACTAATAAAAAATTTTAAAAAACATTATGTTGTACATGATGTATACAAATTTGTCATTTAAAAATAAAGCATGTTCCAGAACCCTGCCCCAAATGAGAGCTAAATAAATGTAGATTGCATAAAATGGAACAAATGGAGGTAGATTATTGGTAAGTTTGTTTGCTTTTTGTAAGTTGGTGATTTTTGAGGCTTAAAACTTAGTGAAACTCAAGATTATCTTCAAATTAATTGGAGACATAAGATGCATTTTATGTCTCCCCTACAGAATGTTAATACAATTTTGTCCCATTATTGGCCTAAGCAGTATGTCTTCAGCTTTCTCAGGTAGGTCAGTAAAGTTTGTCCCTTTGCCATCTACAAAGTCAGGTATTGCCAATGAAGGGGAATAGGTACTCGTGCACAAAAACTGAAGATTTTTTTTCTTGAATTCTTTCAAGCTAAAAAGAGCAGAACTTATAGTTTTCTCCCTCCCCTAATAATTAATGGAGATAATAAGAAATCTCCATGTTCCCCTTCTCAGGAGAAAATGCCTGGTTAAGCATTGGCCTGGGGTTGGCCTGTGAGTCCATCCTTCATGTCGGCCATGAGGGTCTGGTACTCCTGAGGCAGCTCCTCTCTCTGCCCCTCTGTTTTGTCATAGGGCCAGCAGTGCTGAATGTGGTCATATCTCTCTGCCAGAGAACTCAGCCCTGGACTTGAGTCACTCTAAGTTTGATTTAATCAAAAATGTAATTGAGGGATATTATATTAGCAATGACCTATAACCAAGAAGGCCCTGATTATTTATTTGAATATACATTGATATAAATTCATTTTTACATGAATGTGGGTCTAACATCCAAATCATTTCACTAAAGGAAAGGCCTCCCACAATTGTCATTTTTAGACTTTGAAAGATGCATTTGGAAGTCAAGCCTTGTAAGATTTGGCTTTGGTGTATTGATTTGTGAGTAAAGTGGTTTACTTTAGCATTATTTTGCTTGCATATTTTTTACTCCTAAACTGAGGTCAGTGTCACCACAACTTTCAGAGTTAAATTGATTTGCCTCTTCAGACCAATGACTTATAAGAAACGTCCTTTAAATTGCATATACTTGGATTTTGACGTGTGTGTGTGTGTGTTTCTGAGCCAAAATTCTTAAAAGCTTTTGTGTTTGATTCAGTGCCAGCACTTCAAATATTGCCAGGATAGAAGAAATGGAGAGGCTGTTGAAACAGGCTCATGCAGAAAAGACCCGACTGCTTGAGTCCAGGGTAAGCTCAATGTCTTCCTACCAGAAAGAGGTCTGTGATGGCCCCAGGTCTCACAAGTGCTGTGATCTTGAAGCAGTCACTGTACCTTGCTCAACTGAAAAGTAACTTTCTCATCTGAAAAGTAAAGATGTTAAAGAGATGATTTCTAAGGCTTTTTACTACACTACAGTTTTCCATAACTTGCCATAACTTAGTGCTGACATAGACTTAAATGGACATTTTGTGCTGTACTTTCCTTTCAGTGGCCACTTGGTGTTTTTGCCAAGGAAGTGGAAAGAGTGTGCTTTTATGCCTTCCCATCCTTCCCAGCCTGTTAGCTGCACTATTGTGATGGTAAAAATCCCACGTTATTGTGACTGTATTCCAAGCTGTAGTCTGAACTTCCTTAGGAATCCCCCAAATGCCTTTGCATCCTGTCGTGAGGGAGCCTCCTTTCCTTCTCTAGCTTCCCTGTGTGCTTCCTCTGTGACCTTCAGCCAGGCAGCTTGCAGGCAATAACAGGAATTGGAAGGACTGGTGGCCTTCAGTTAGAAGATAGCAGACCAAGAAAAGGCTAAACCTCATGACTAGTGTTGAATGATAGTTTGTGAAGCTTTTATTAAAAATGGAGGAATTGTGGCCACTGAATCAAAATGACTGAATGTAGTCACAAACTGGATTTTTCACTTAAGACCAAATTTTTTTGTGTGTGTGTACAGGGCCTTCCACATGCTAGGCAAGAGCTTTACTGCTGAGCTGCCTCCAAGCCTGACCAATATTTAATTATTAATTATTGTTAATTAAATTTAATGATTGTGTATCTTCATTTAATGAGTTTGGAAGCTATGCCAGAGGTGATTATAGGTTGTATTAGTCTAGGGTATATATTTTAAGAGACTAGAATACAACCCAAAAAGTTGGTGAGAATTTTGTTTTTGGTAATAGTTGGAACCATTTAAGTATGACCAATATGTCCTAATCATTGTTCTGCATAATGATATTTAGGAACGGGAAATGGAAGCCAAAAGACGAGCTTTGGAAGAAGAAAAGCGACGCCGAGAAGTTCTGGAAAAACGACTGCAGGAAGAAACTAGCCAGAGGCAGAAGTTAATAGAAAAGGAAGTAAAAATAAGGGAGAAACAAAGGGCACAGGTTGGTTGGTCAATCTAAATGCACGCGTATAGGTTGCCCCCTGGTGGTCGTTCTGTAGAAGACAGTGTGAGAATGCCTTCCTTGGCATTGCCCGTGCTTGGTGAAAAGGTTAGGAGAAAATTACGTTCATGTGCAAAGCATGTGACTTTATTTCCCAATTTCTAGGGAACTACCAACCAGATAACTTTCCTCTACATGGGTGGAACATCCTGATGGTAGAGGTATATTTTCTTCTATCAATTTTCTGAAGTACATTTAAAAGGAGAATGGATTTTGAACAGCTTTGAAAAATGCCACTGGATTGGCTGCTGAAAACAGATACAAAGTCCCAAGAAAAACCTTTAGTGAAGGGAATGAAAGATTCTATTGTGACATCTTTTAGGAATAAACATATCAAGACAGGATAATTCTTCCAGCATAGTTTCTTGGTGGTGGTGTTAATTTTCTTTTCTTTTCCTGGCCACTATATTGTCGTGTATGTCCCCACTGTGCTACAGTCCATAGCATATGTGCACAGATTACTGAAATCAGGCAAAATTCAAGAGAACCACCCATTTTGTTTAACTTCTTATCTTGCTCATCATAAATTTGCAGTCGTGATTTTTGCCACCATGATTGCTTATATAACATGTGTTCTCTGAAGATAAAATTTGACTAAGTATTGCATAATTTAAAGCTCAAATCAACTTTATCAGAATTGATCATTTATCTAGTAGATTCAAAGCCAAAAGATGTGATGTTCCTTATTCTTTTTGGTTACTGGTAGTCTGATGGTCCAGCAGTTAGAGACTATCTTTAGAGCTTTGTAGGTTTTGAGGTATCAGTAAGCCTGGGGCATCTATCTACAGTCAAGTATCATAGAATCAAAGGTAAAATATTGATAAATAGTTAAAACTTTTCCATTTTATTTCATCATGCCTAAATTTTGCAAATTCTGATTCACAGTTAAGATCATCCATACCTCTTTAATATCCGAAGCCAAACCAAAAAGCACAAGTCTGTTTTAATCCTGATCATAAGTTTTACCTCCACGTACATGATTAGGTCATTCTCCCCAGGCAAAGGGGTGGGGTTAACATAAAATAAAACACCATTTTAGAAATATCTTCCAAGTTGATATATGCTTCCTGGATTGCATGAACCTTGGCCTTAACCATTAGTAAAGTAAAAGTCATCTAAATCCTCTGGTTTCTTGTCTTGGGCATTTTATTATATTAGATCCAGCTTCAATTCCACTTCTAATTTTATTCTAGCTACATTTTCAAAACATGCATCCTTGCCTTCAATTCCTATTAGAGTGTATGTGAGCCAATGTTTGCAACTTTCCAGGATCTTTTGGGGGTTGTGCTTGCTAAATAGTGCTGGCCTGTCATGCCGGGTCAGGGATCACTTAGGGAGAACTGTTGTGTTATAGTATGGGAAGCTCCTGAAAACCTTCTGATGGAGGAACCCTCACCTGCAGGGAACAGTCCAGATAAATTCATCCCTCAGTTCCCTCTATGTGTCATACTAAGTATCTCCTTTAAGTTAAAATAGATGACATGTTTCCATCCGCTCATTTTCTCATCTCAAGGAATAGAATCTATTGTCCTGAGTTAATCTATTTCCCTGCCCATACTGTAGCATCCCACTCAAAATACTACCTACTTTTTAGTGTCTAGTTGGTGTTTTCTTTATTGTAAGTGCTCACAAATACATGGGTATTATAAAACTTAGACTTTACATTTAGTTCCAGTTTCTAAACATCTATAACATAAAATGAAACAATCAAATGAGGATGGAATGGGCTTTGTGCTTTTCCAGGCTCGCCCTTTGACACGCTATTTGCCTGTCCGGAAGGAGGACTTTGATTTGCGGAGCCATGTAGAGACCGCTGGCCACAATATTGATACCTGTTACCACATATCAATCACAGAGAAGACTTGCCGAGGTTTCCTCATCAAAATGGGTGGAAAAATTAAAACTTGGAAAAAACGCTGGTTCGTTTTTGATCGGAATAAGCGCACATTTTCTTATTATGCAGGTGGGTGATAGAAAAACATAGCATATTCAAATCTGTTACAGAGTATAAGGTGATACCGAGACACAACTGAGACCACCGAGGCAGGCAAAGTTCAAGCAACATGCAGTGAGTTTATTACCATCTGGGTATAGATGGCCTAAGAGCCTAAAGGCCTTTGGCACTGAGAGGAGGGTGCGCACGGTTGATATGGGGGAGTTTAGGTGGGGGAGGGGCATTGGTTGAAAGGATAGAAAATTTTATTAGAGTCTCATGGGTGATGGGCCTGGGGCTGGCTGATAAACAGGGAAGTGGGAGGAGCAACAGGGTAGCTGCTGACTCCCTGTTATCTCTGTGCTCCTGTGGATACAAGTAGCAGGTCTACTTGGAAGAGCAAAGGCAATTGAGATTAAGTATAAATAGCCTGGTAAGTGGTTACAGCATTATTAGCTTTGTAGATGTATATTATTTTATATTCCTATTATGTAGTTCAATATGATATGAATTTTCTTTTTACAACTAATAAAAATGTTACTTTAAAAAGTATGAACTAGTTTATTCCAGTTCCAAAGTAAACATTATTTTTGAAACTTATTTTTAACATTAAAATATTGCCCTTTAAAACACAAGGCCAGAAAAAGGGTTTTTTTTTTCTTTATTTATACATACTGTTTAAGTTACACACAGTAAAGTTGCCCTAGCTGACAGTCATTCAACAATAGTCTGCAAAAAAAAAAATATGCACACTTCAGGAAAAGAAAAACTTGTATAAATATTTTAATACTAAATTTACTGAGACATCATGAGATTAACACAAGTTACCTTTGGCCTCTACAATTACAAGAAGTGCTCAAAATGCTGGCCATTAGCTTCCAGACATTTATTAGTACAGTGAGCTGCTGCTTGAGTAACCTTGGTCATTGAGATTGCTACACCTGCATTTTCAATTTTTTCACTAAAAGCCAGCAGTGTAGTGGGTTTTCTGCAATATGACAACCTTGAGGGTCCCGCATATGAGGGGAACACCATCTGTAGTTTACAAATTAGAATAATCTTTTGAGCACAGAGTAAAGCTAATTAGTAAACTAGTGAACAAATAAGTATTTATGAAGTATCTGAAACATTTTTGGATTCTTAAGAGCTGAATTATGAGAAACATCCTACTGAATCATATAAAAATACAAGAATATTAGTGTAACTGGAATAATTATTAAGAAGCCCTTTGCCTACTTTGGGATTAGATGAAGGCTAGATCTGCGATTAGCACAGGTCTTCTAAAGAGGAGTGGTATATCATAGCGGGGTTATGCTTTGGGGTTACTGTATCAGCATTTATGAGCATCATGATAAACTGAACCAGTGTAATAAATGTAATGAGTCCAGTCACCTAACCTATCCAGTGAGGTCAGTTAATATTTATGCAAAGGGGGATGAGAAACCCACATGCATGTGGAGTAAGGACACAGTGTCAGGGAGCCCAAGAATCAGGATGGAAATGGGCAGGGGACACATCTTTTCTGTGGGGGACTCATTAGGTAACAAGCAGATGGCCTGTTTGTCACAGGTCCTTGCTCTGCCTCTAGGGCTTTCTGATTTGGGGTTTTAGGAAAATCCAGAGCAGCTCTCTTCAGTTCGTACAACAGGAAAGATACCTCATTAATAAGAAATCAAATCTAGCGTCTGCTAAATGCATTTATTTATTTATTTTTTTAAAATGCATTTAAAAATAACGAAAAAAATGGCTTCACTCCTCCATGCTGCTCTTCTGAGTTTCGTTCCTTCCTTCCTTTCTTTCTTTTCTCTCTCCTTCCCTCCTCCCTCCCTCCCTCCCCTCCCATTAGGCAATGACTGTTTAGCAGCTTGACCACCTTCTCAATATATGTCCTTCTGAGTTGTGTAAATTCGTTTTTCACATTGAAAATTTTGGTGACTTGTTTTCAGTATTTTTAAGTACCAAAACCCTTTTTGTTTTATGAAAGATTACTCAAAACCCTCAAGCATAAAACAGATGGATTTATAGTTCATCAATTTTTATATCTGATATAATTGGACCATTCCGCATTGGCTTAGCTGCTCCCTTCCCCACCCTATCCCTGTCCCAAACATCAACAATCACATGCATGGATCAGGTCCCAGCCAGTCATCTAGACTGCAACCTGGGACGGACTTGGTCCTACAAAAGCCACGTCAGCTTCTCACAAGGTAAATGGCCATGTGTGCAATGAAGGAGCTGCCAAGGGGACTGCTGAAAGCTAAAGGCCTGGGCCTTTCTGTTGTTCATGGCCCAGCCTCTGTCTTTGGCCTCCTGTATATTAACCTGGAACTTGTAGGAGCATCTCTAAACAAAGTTGTGGCACAGGAAACGTGTCTGAAAATTAAGGGGTAATGCTGTCCAGAAACAGTGAATAACTGGCATTATCTCATCAGCGAGTGGCATGATTGATCCTCCTAGCTCACAAAGTGGTTGTGGGACCTACATTTTTCAGTGTGCATTCTCACAAATGAAACACCCTAAAAAGTTTCATTCTCTAGTTTTCTGTCTGCTTGAAACATTGTCAAGATTTACTTTCATTTCTAAATTTGATTTCATATCTGTTTTGTTTTTTTTTGGTACCGGGGATCGAACTCGGGTCCTTGTGTTTGTGCAGCAGGTGGCGAAACCACTGAACTAAATCCCCGGCCCTTATATCTGTTTTGAAGAAAGGTATTAGTGTATTCCCATTGATTACTGCAGTATCCTCTCCAGAAAATGTGTGAGACATGCACTGACCTTCTCTTTTATTAAAACTGGTTGAAATCTACTGAGCATGCTATTAATTAAAACAATATTTCCCAAGGAAGAGCAAAAACAAACACAAAAATATGGTCGTTGGTCAAATAATATAGAGAAATGCAGGATTAAGTGCACTTAAACTTATTATTCTCTGTGGAACTTCTCTGGGTCATTATTTTTCAGACTAGCTTTTTACTGTTACTGGGGGAAAGGGACATTCACTTTATTAAAGAAAATTAAAAATAACCAAATATGTATAATGCTAGTAAATCTCCTTCCCATCATAGTTCTGACCTGTCACTGTAAAGCTTGAAATACTCTCTGATTTTCTCTAGTTTGTTTTATGTATATTTTATTACATATATATTTTTTTTTTTCTTTTTTATAGTTTGGGACTACATTATTTACTCTGTTCATACCCTGTTTTTCAAGAGAGCAGCTCAGGATTGTCTTCCTATGAGCAAACGCAGACAGACATACCTGTCGCCTCATTGGCTGTACAAATTTCATTGTGTGGCTGGCCTGTAATTAAATCAGTCCCCTCTTAAGCTCAAGCATTTCTTTTGTAGCTGTGTGTCATAAAACACACAAATCTGTGTGCATTTACACACACACCAGTAGATCTTATACAACAAAGTCTGGAAGTGGAATTGCTGAGCAAGGACTTTTCAATTTGTTAAGTTTTGTTTGTTCCACCAGTTGCCTTCCCAAAGAGGCTTTGTCATTTGGGTTACCACTGTCTCTTTCCTTGCTTCTTCACACATACTTTCAAATATTTTGTTCATATCTATTGTGATCCTTACAGTGTTTTAATTATAAAATAATTCAGGAAATGAGTAGGTCAGAGTGGTGCTGTTGATTTGGTTGTTTTGATTGTTTCTGTTTTATGTTTTAGTTTCATGGTAAATCTGATGAAATGTTTAAAAACAGGTTACAAAATGCTGCATTGAAAGATAATATTGCTGTGATGCTTTGTTGATAAAAGGTCAACCATGCAGGACAAGTTTGATAGAAAAGAAATACAAGTAGAATATTGTAAATTAAGTTTATGATATTTAAAACACTAAAATTTCATTACAACTGTTATGAATATTAATATTTCCATTACGAAAAGAGTTTTGAAGAATGTGGGGAAATATTTTGTATGGGTCCCAGTAATGTCTCTACTTTGTGTGCTTGCGTGACAGTCAGTAGTTCTGGGTTGTTTTTTGACTGCTAATTTGCTGAAGAGCCTTGGACAAAGTAGTTGAGTCTCTTTGAGTGTGGGAATTTCATAGTTTTTCTATTGTTTGAATATAGAACAGGGCTAATGCATTACCCTGAGTTTCTGAATTAATCTTAGATCATTTAAATGCTAGATAAATATTTTAATGATGATTATTATCATGAAATTATAATTTTCCTGTCCCTCAATGGTGATAAAGTATTTAATATTCATCTATCTTTGCAGATAAGCATGAAGCAAAATTAAAAGGAGTAATATACTTTCAAGCCATTGAAGAAGTATATTATGATCACCTCAAGAATGCTAATAAGGTAAACACCAGTTTGCTAAATTCCTATAATTTGAATGCATAATTAAAGTAGGAAAAAGGTATTTTTGAATTTTGAGCAATTTAATTTGCCATTCTTGAATAACATATGATTAGAATGGTGCTGGAAAGTTAACAGTGAAATAGTTAAGGACTCTTTTGGGGGAAAAAGCCGTGGTACAGTGAGGGAATATTCTGGACACACTGGTTTGGGAGACCTTGCAGAGTGACTGCAAGCACTGTGGATGGGAGCTACTATATAGTTATGAGGGAATCATAATTTAGTAGGATCTTAACAGGGCTAACAGTAACTGCTGCTATTTCAAGCACCCTTTATCAGCTAGGTACCATACTTTACAAACTAGCCAGTAAGAATCAGTGAGCTCTGCTAAGGTTTCCTGTGGCAGAAAGGCCAGAAATGGTCATTCCTAAGAAAGGCATAGGGTAAGGTGGGTATAACTGAGCAAATGTAATGCCTACACAAATTTCTATCAATGAGAACTTTTAAAGAGAAAGAAACCTTCACATGTCTGTTATTTTCTATTCTAATTTTAAGATATTTTTCTTTCCCTGTTTTCAACTTCAGAGCCCTAATCCGTTACTCACTTTTAGTGTCAAGACACACGACAGAATCTATTACATGGTGGCCCCATCGCCGGAAGCCATGCGTATCTGGATGGATGTTATAGTTACCGGGGCAGAAGGTTACACTCACTTTTTGTTATAGTGAATGGAAGCAACAGTCCACTCCAGGGCAGACTGCAATAATCTCTTACAAGAATGAAGCCATATTCAATCCCAGAAGCAAAGACCCAGCAGACCAACTTCCTCACTGTATGCACTCAGAACTCCTTTTATACTAGGAAGTTATTTGTAAAAACAAATTTAAAAAAAGAGAAAAGAAGTTTTAATTCAAAACTTGATCATAAATGGAAAAAGAAGTGAAGCTCCTACAAGAAACACTATTTTGATAAATATCACTAAAAGAACATTTCTTATATTTTTTATCAGCTGGTTTTGGTGAAATAAACTAAACAGTTTACAGAATATCTGTATATGTGTACTTGCAAATATGGAATTACTGTAGCATGCAAATTGTTGCCATTGGGCTTTTTTTTTTTTTTTTGACTACCATTTTACAAATATAGGCAAATAAAGGCTTGGAGAGGAATATGTTTTATGAATTTTGCATTACTTTGTAAGTACTCCATCAAAACCAAAGACTTGACATGACTTCTGTTTAACGGTAGTGGTTTAAAGTAAAGTAGTTTTAAGTGGTAATGTTCCTCTATATTTTAAAACAATATTTTGACCAGATGCCCAGGAAATTGACTTTGCAGTGTTGTCACCATGATAAGCTACTGTACATATATAGTAAAACACTTTTTGTAAAAGAAGAAAGAAAAAAATCTGTATTTTAGAAAAATACCATCTCAGCCAAAAGACATTTTGTCACATTGGGAAATTTTTAAATAAAGAAAATATTTGATGTTAGGAGCTTTTTCGTGCAAGATTTCTCCTTTCTGAGTGCTGAGAATGAAGGCAACCAGTAGCTGATTTCCTTTAGATTGTCTCATTTCTCTTTGTTATGGAGCATACCTATCAGTTACACCTCGCATGACATAGCTATGAAATCCTAGTTCTGTTTTCACCAGAGAACACAATTAAAATACCCAATATGCAGAACTGATATAACGGCAAAATTCAACTTAACATTATCTATAATATTTTATTATGTATTTCCTTGCGATTAGACTTTAGTTTTTAGAGTTAAATTAATTTTTGTGAATGAAAGGACTTCAGGCAAGTCTCTTTTATAATGGATTTTCAAATGTCACTTACAGTTTATGTTTTGTGTGTTTGTAAGTATGAATGTACTCTTTCCTAAAACATGGTAAATGACTAGAAGTACAAAATAATGATGTTACTTACAAGATTAAATGATTACAAGTGTCTTTAAAATTTTGTCAGGCTTTATTAGGTACAATTATTTTTATGTTTGCAAAATACTTTGTATACATGTATACATATTGCCAGTAAGATTTGCAACTGAATAATGCAAGATCTTACTTGAACAATGAAGAACAAAAATCATGATTGTAAAAGATCTTTTTAAAAATCAGATTTTGCAGAGATCACCCTTAAACTCTTTAGTGATCTAAGAGAATGAAATGCAATAGCTAAAATTTTGTTGGTTAATGTAAAGATATTTTTCTGTACTGTACTTTCTCCATAGGATTATAAGAATATCCTAATCAACTTGCATGTTGTAAACCTTTTAAATATGTGTGTTAAACATGAATTTGGATTAAAACGTTGACCTGATTTCACATGTGAAAGTAAACTCTCTGATTTGGAAGTTACTTTGTAACATGATAGAAGATTGATTAATCAGCAAAAGTCAACTGTAGAATTCACAGAAAGGTTGTGTTCTGACAATACAATTTGTAGCTTTTAAACTGGAGTAACAAGAAGTATCTCTGATCACATGCTTACTGCTTTAAAAATGTGGTGAACCTGAAAAATATCTGACATCTTGTCTTTTTGCACTGATACAGTCATTATTGGGGATTATGAAGACTATATTTACTTATCCTTTTATCTGACAGGGAAATATGCAAATATGAAGTGAAGCTCTGAGGACCTTCGTGGGGACCTCATTTGTCTTCCTGCACCACAATAGCAGATTTCTGGAAGAGAAACTGCTCTCAATAATATGTCCTTTTACCCCTTTCCATGTTAGCGGAGATGACAGTCTGTGCACAGAGTGGAAACAAATCAGTGTGCTTCAGTTGGTATTAGCATCTTCACTTGCCAGAAGCCACAATTATTGCTGATTTGTTCAAATAATAAGAATAGATAAAATGATCCATGGGTTAGCTGTGTGTGTGCAAGGCTTTTCCCCCCCAATGACAAGTAGCCAGATAATTCATTTATTTCACATAAAATGCAAGAAAACCTGCAAAGATAAAGGGAAGGAAAAAGAATGACTAAAAATATTTTTCACTTTTCCAAAAACTAAAAGAAGTGATTTAAGATGCAAGGGATGGTGAGGTGACCACTGGGTATCACCTTTGTAATTCAATCCCTTTGTAGTCTACCAGCCTAATGGACAGCTGGCAAAATAGTTCAACATCTTGTGAAGTATGTCTTAAATCAAGTCCTTATTATACACACACTTCCTACTTGCGAGTCATTAGAGATCTGTTCAGTCTTTACTCCACTGTGTCCAAACAGGACAGGTTCTCAGGACTCCAAAGACATACTGGATTCCAACCTTTCCCTTGAACTCTGGGGTCAACTAATGTTCCACAATTTATAACCAAGTTAGTAACATGGTCTTACTTAAAGTATTACACCAGCCACAGTAACTTTTAAGCAGAAAAATACTAGGTAAGTCACATGCCTGTAATCTAACACTCGAGAGACTAAGGCAGAAGAATCACAAATTTAAGTCCTGCCTGGGCAATTTAGCAAGACCTTGTCAAAAAATTTAAAAAGGGGCTGGAGATACAGCTCAGTGTGAAAGTGCTGGGCTCAATTGCCAGAACTGGGGAAAAAAAAAAAAATAGGTAAGGCCTTATTGGTTGATGCTTGAGGTCCTCAAGAATTACTTAGGATGTCATAGTTCAAGTCCAGAATTCCTTGTATCACAATTTCTTCAATGAGTTGTATTGTCTGTTCAAATTTTTATTTGCCTCTAAAAATGGTGCTGTAGTAGATACCATCCATATTTATGAACTTGTATTTTTCCATAAGGTAATCACAAAGGGGAGGAATTAGGTCAAAGGGCATTGAAAATAATGGATATTTTAAATTATAAATGTAGTCAGCTAGCTAGACAAGATTTTAGCAATTTGCACTTCCAACAATCATAAGTTTCCAACATCTTTGCCAATCTGGTAGAAGAAAAAAGTGGCATTTCCTAATCCATATTTTTAATTAATGAAGTATATTTGTATGAATTGCCTATTCATGGCTGTTGGTCAATTTTATTGGAATATTTTATGATCAGAAGTAGACTAAATAGAATTAATATATGTATGCTGCAAAATCTACCTTCCTAGGTTCTCATTTCACTTAAGATATCTGTTTGCCATTAAAAATGATTAAATTCATATATGACCAAATATATTTTTCTTTATAATTTGGGGATTTCAAATATTAATTTTTAAAACTTAAAATGTAATCTCAACTTTATTCTTCCGTTGAGATTATTTATCTACTGTAATTTATTGTTGCATACAGCAAGATCCAGGGTCACGATAATGCAATAATTACTAGTTAGGCACCTAAAGAACTAGAATAAAAACTTAACTGAAAAGGGGCAAGAGAAGCCAGGCGTGGTAGTGCCCGCTTGCAATCCCAGCACTCTGGCGAGGTTGAGGCTAGAGGATCACAATTCCCACCCCAGCCTGGCCAATTTAGTCACTTGGTGAGACCCTGTTTCGAAGGGGCCGGGAATGGAGCTCAGGGTGAAGGCCCAGGGTTCAAATTAACTCCCAGTTTGATCAACCCACATAAGGGACACGGGCAAGAGGGCGGAGAAAGATTCCACTGGAGGGATTACCCAGCAAGATGAAGGTCGGGTCTCAGAAGCCTTTCGGGTTCCAGCTGTTGGGGAGTCACTCAGACTTGGGAAGGTGCAAACCTGGCGTTCTGTTTTCACTAACTGGGATCCTGAGGATGGGATGGTTTCCCCTCGAGGAACGTTGGCTATAGCTCCTCTGGGCTATCAGCATCCAACTGAGACGGGAGCCTCTTGAGGCCACTTCCCCGCTGCCACAGACCAAACTGAAAACCGGTCCAGCAGCGAAAGAGTGGAAGGAAGGACAAGAACGCACATACTCACACTGTCCGCGCGAGGTTAAAACTCTGCGTCGCAGGTTAACAAAATTCTGCCTCCCCTCGGACGGCACACGCACAGCCTCCGAACCGCGCGTTCGGAGCAGTCCGGAGCGCGGTGGCCGATGGGAAGATGGCGGGCGTGTTCCTGATAGCTTCGGGGTCTTGTCGCAGCTGGGGCTGGGCAGCAGCCTCTTTCGGCCCCCACCAGGGCCTCAGCGCGTTACTAACACGGAAGCCCCAGCGGGCGCCCCGGCGGCTCCCAGGTTAGTGTCTGGACTGAGCAGGATGCCTTCTTTGGAACACTCGGTGTTCGGGCCGTTCTGCCCCCGTGCGTTTTTGGCGCTGTATTCAAAAATGCTTTCCCCGCTTTCTTAGCAGTCCACGTCTAGGTTAATTATACAGTTGAAAAGAAAGCAGTAGGATAACTCTGCCGCAGCCCTGGGGCATTCGAAGTCCTTATCCTTGCTAGCCTTTTACATTCTGCGGTTTAAGGAGCTCCTGCCCTCTGCGTGCTTTCTCTGCATGAAACGTCAACACTAGGAAAAATTAAGATGCAACTTTAATGCATTTGGTTATTAGTTGCTTCTAGGGCTTTACAGGTCGTTACTCTCAAATGCTTAGACATGCCTTCTCTTGACTTGAGGAAACTTAAAATATGAGACATGTTCTTTGTAGAAGTGTAGGTGCCTTCTTTAACTCCTGTTGTCTTGATGCTCCCACGCAGTGAAAGAATCGTAATCACTGCTCTACAAAGGAAAACAGAGTTTAGAACCATATATATGTATGTATGTGTGTATATGTATATCTGTGTATATATGTATCAGAATATACAATATGTGTATATGTATATTGTGTGTCCTTTGTGTGTTTTCACACCCTTCACACGCAGCTGTCAGGTGCATGGTGCCTGGAATGATAATTAACCTCATTGCAGAGACTCTTTGTTTCTAGTGAAAAAAACCCCACTAAATTTATATAATCAGTTTAACTCATATTCAATTGCTAACCAAAAGTGTGTATGGTATGTCAGTTCATTAAGAAGAATAACATACTCTTTCATCTATTTAGCAAATATTTATTGAGCATTTATGCACAGCTAATCCTTATGGTATAAAGATGATTTATGAATATAATATTAGAATTTGTCCACTTATAATTCACCAACATTAAATAAATTTTAATTTCTCGGGATATTTCTGTTAGAAGGCAATATTTGGAAAGGATTATTAGAGTGCTTAACTGAGGAAATTAGAAATGAACATTGTCGCTGATACAATGTTCTGACCAACATAACTGGCCCCCACTAGCCCTGTTTTTCACCTAATGTTTTAAATTTGACATATTTCTCTGTATATTAAAGGTTTGAAACAGTAGCATAAAAAGGGTAGATGTAAGCCTCCAGTTAAGCTTTAATAAATCAGCTTCACAAATCCAGAGTGGGGAAAACATTTACAGCACACACGGAAAGAGAAATTTTCACTAACCACAAGGAAGTAGAGAAAGACTGCATTTATATTTTAAAAAGATTTAGTCCAGAAGAACACTGCAAAGAAGTATACAAACCTAATGGCTTTGGAGGGAGGAAGTGGGATTTTTTTAAAAAAAATATTGAACTTTGTACTTTTTTTTGAAAGAGCAAGTATATTGACTTTTTAGTAGGAAAAAGATTAAAAAATGACATGGAGTAACCTTGTAAAGTTTACCATTTGAATTGTTCTATACCAGTCACAAAAGTGAAGCCAATAAATAAAACACAAAGGATGCAGAGTCCAGAGAGAAATCTTTTCTGAAAAAATGACACTATTGCTATTATATGTTATTCGAGACAGGAATTGCTCCTTGAATTCAATTCAGCTGAAACAAAATTATGATGCTTTGTTACCACAGTCCTTGATTTTGTGAGTGAAGTGGGGGAGTGAGAGTCAGTAATAAAAGGTTTAGGATGAGGATTTAGAACAATTTCCCAAAGGCTACCCAAACCTTTTTTTCCCCTACTCATCTCCCCAAAAGTACAGGATGTGAAACTCCTCAAACAAATAAAAAAGAAGCCAAAAATCTCACACGAGAAGCCTGAAACTGGTGTAGTTGAATCTGAATTTGATTGATTGATACTGTTTAGGACAGATGATATAGCAGCAACAGGAGAATGTTTTTGGATGAATCACTGTCTTTTGTTGCCTTGGAATTTCTGCCTCATTGTGTATTTTGGAAGAATGAAGATTGGACCTTGCTCAAAAAAGTTACTAATCTTGACAAAATTTTAAAACTAAAGACTTCATGCAGAGATTTGTTAATTTAATATGTACTTTGAGTCTGATTTTGTTTTTCCTATGAAATGGAAATAGTATTTAACATTAACTCAGTGAGTTAAGAAAGTTTGAAATATATGATTTTCTAAAAACTAGTTGCAAACTTTAATTTATGTTCTGTGTACTTTGTTTAGCTTGCAGACAAAAGACATCATTCTCTTTCCTTAATCGACCAGACCTTCCAAAACTGGCTTATAAGAGGCTAAAAGGCAAAAATCCAGGAATTATCTTCATTCCTGGCTACATCTCTAACATGAATGGTACAAAAGCATTGGCGATTGAGGAATTTTGCAGATCTCTAGGGCATGCCTACATAAGGTAGGAACCACACATTTCAGAGAACATATTGCTGTCATTTAGCATGTCAATATAGAATTACTTCTACTGTCACCAGTTGAAGCAAATGCCAGCACTTTAATAGATTCATTTATTTTATGGTCTGTAAACTTCTCTATAATTTTGTGATACAGGGTCATTGTAAAAGTAACCTTTAAAAGACCTTTTCAAGATGTCTTTGTGCCATACTGACAATACTGGCAGGAATGGACATCTTAAGGAAACTAGTGGTAACTAAGTTCTTAAGATACACTAATCTGTATGACAAAAATATATACTAGTTGGCTTTCTTGAACTCTCTTGTAATTATATTAGTTTTCTGTTGGAGATGTAAGGGTTTATTTGACCGCCTTCTAAAATATATATGTAGAAGTGTAAGAGTGTACATTTAACATGCATGAGGACCTAGGTTCAGTCCCCAGCGTCATACACAAAATTTGTCAAGTAATATATGTATTTAAAAGTGTGATAGCTAGATAAGGTGGCATACACTTGGAATCCCAGCATTTGGGGGCTGAATCAGGAGGATTGCCACAAGTTCAAGGCCAGCTTGAGCTATTATGGTGAGTTTGAACCCAGCCTGAATAATGAACTACATAGTGAAACCCTGTCTCAAAACACCAACAACAACGAAAAAGAAGTATTATAAAATTAGTATAGTAATTCACATTTCTGCAGATTTTTTTACTTTTACTCCTGTAATCTGATTATGTGTGAACATAAATAAGAATAGATGCTGTTTAACTAAAGCTTGATTTTATAATTTCTAATTTTTCACACAATTATTTTACTAAAATAATTTGTTCGCTTTGTTGTTAGTCCATCATGATCACTTATTTAAAGTCATTGCTATCTAATGACTATTAACTGTTGATTTCATTTTAGCTTATTATAAGAGGTTTTATCTTCTATTTAGATATTTCCCAATTTCTCAGTTTACTTTTGAGTTGATTTTTTGTTGTAAAATTTGCTAGAACAGAGAGTGGTTTAATAGAGCATTGGACTGGAATTTAAGAATTATGGGTTCTAGAATAAATTCTGTCAGTAACTGTGACCAGGCAAGTCTGCTAATAAACACTGGACCTCATTTTTTTATCCAAAAAAAGAGTTGAACTAAAATTTGAATTTTTTTCAGCATTAACAGCATAAAAATCTACTCACCTAAATTTTTAGAAGAGTAGTTTCACTAAACATTTAATAGTTCTAAAAAATACAGATATATAAAACTTTTAGATATTATCTGTTCAATATATTAATAGAATTCATGTCACTTAAGTGGAGTTAGTCTTAGTCCTATCATATTAACAAATTAATTTCATTTGCATATTTAGAGCTTTTAAAATCTCTTTTGACTTGGGCTCAGTGATTCTGCTGCCTACCTCGCAAGCGCAAGGTCTGGAGTTTGATCCCCAGTACCAAAAATAAAAAATCTCTTTGACTTAATTATTGTTATTCCCAAGACTGGAGTGTTTTTTGGAAATACGCAGCATTATACAGGTGTTGAATAATATACCAAGAATTATAAAACATTGTACTATTTTTTAAGGATCTTTCAGTTATGGTGGAAAAAATACAAATGAGAAATTAGACAAACACGTCAGAATGTGACTGTCAAAAGAGCAATATATTTCATTACCTAAAGTGAGAGAAAAAAAAACTGAGGAATTAAGTATATAGAAAAAACTTCAGAGTCCTGAATAATAGCCAAGATTTGGGTAGAAGGAAAGTGCTGTGAAGAGAGACTACCTTGAGCAAAATACCACATCAGAAATACAGTGTCGATAACACTGCGTTTTTTGCCCCCAAAAGAATTTGAATGAAAAAGTCACCATTTTAGTGATGCTGAATTTCAATTGAGACTATGACAGTTACAACCAATTCCTTTCTCCCTGTAAAACTTAACGTGGTGGCGCATGCCTGAAATGCCAGCACTTGGGAGGCTGAGGCAGGAGGAAACCCGCAAGTTCTAGGCCAGCCTGAACTAAATAGGGAGACCCTATCTCAAACCCTCCCAAAAAAGAGATAATGTAGGGTTTCTGTATTTTGGAGACCATATAAGTAATGCCTTTATAAAGTATACCCCCTTCACTACAAATTTATTTGATCAAGTCCCTTTTTATTTGCCCTTATCAAGTTGGATTTCATTTTAGCTTATTATAAGAGATTTGATCTTCTGTGTACATATTTTCCAGTTTACTTTTGTGGTGATTTTTGCTATAAAATTTAGATCTTGAATGATGAATGGCTAGTTTAATATACAAGAAATAGTACATGTGACCATATGAAAATGATTTATTAATGTCCTGTTGTCATGCATAAAATAAAACTGAGTCAGAGTTCAAGAATATAACATGGGCTTTTAAGGCCAATGCTCTCAGGGTTATTTCTAATAGTAAATTTGGAACTGTGTCCCTGGAGAATTGAAGCAGCTACACTACAGAGTACTAACACTACAGAGTAGTGTTACTGTTTAGCATCACTAAATATTTATATAGGCATGCCTTGTTTTACTTCAGATTATTTTATTGTGTTTCACAGATACTGAATTTTTTTTACAAAACAAATTTATGGCAATCTTGCATCAAGCAAGACTAGTGGCAGACACCATTTTTCCTACAACTTAGGTGCTGCTTAGTATATTTTAGCAGTAAAGAATTTTTAACAACAGGGCCAAAATTTGTATGTCTCACTACTGGGCAGCTTACCCCACTAGTGGTACCCTCACTACTGGGCAGCTTACCCCACTGTCCCATGTGTGGCTGTACCACTTCTGCCACCAGTGGTACAAGCTTCCCCATGGGACAGTCAGTCATGTACCGCTAGTGGTGGTTCAAACCAAAGGAAACATGTTAGTCAAAGTACTGCTTTTTGTAGGACATGATATTATTACACACTTAGTAGACCACACTGTAGTGTAAACATAACTTTTATATACATTGGGAAACTAAAAATTCATGTGACTCTCTTTATTGTAATACTCAACTTTTTGTGGTGGTCTAAAATGGAACCTGCGTTATCTCTGAGGCATCCCTGTTTTTCTTCACGAAGGACCTCACTATATATACATATTTGTAAGGTAGCTGGAAAAGATGCTCTATGTAACCATATCCATGTGCTCACCAGTGAAGGTAAAAGAAAAATCAGCTGGTCTCTTTCTCCCCTCTTCTTCTTAGTCTGCCCTCTAGTACCTTGGATTAAGGGGGAAACAATAACCAATTTAGACTACAGCAGCAGTCTTGTTCAAATTTCCCAAGGATCCAACATCATTTCACTTCAAACCTAAAGATGATTTTAATTTCATTTTCCTTTATCACTTTTAAGTCCCTTATGTCTTAGGAAATACATATTTATATACTGTACATCACATACCCTTTCTTACAACCTAAAAATACAGGGATTCATTAGTTTTTCACTAGATTTTAAGAATAAGAAAAGTATGAAAGCTTGATATTTGAATAAAATATTTTTATAATCTTTAATGTATTCATTTAGTCATACCATTACCCTCAGTGTGAAGTTTTCATGCCTAACTGCTGTGAAGAATGCAGAGACAATAAACTACAGCTTTTCCCTTCCAGGATCTTACAGTCCCCAGAAATGAACTCTTTCTCCTCCTTTCTCTTTTCCTTCTTTTTCTCTCCCTCCATCTCTTTCTCCCTCTGTTTTAAAGAGCAGGATATAATAAATTGTCTATGACTGACAAATTCTATGGACGTTTCATAAGGGAAAGATATTTTCAACCTAAATCAGATGCCTTTCTACCAAAAAGGTTTATTAGTACTAGGTTCTGAAAGAGAATATTTTACTGAAGAAGGTGATAGAGAAGGTATTCCAGGTAACCAACAAATTAATCAATTGGCTAACATAGTAGTTTCCTCTGATAAGGTGATAAAAGATCAATCTGAGATGAACAGAATATAATATTCTTAAAACATTAGTCTAAAGCACTAATGTTCTTCCTTACAGGGAGCCATTGAAGGTAAAGGCATAATATAATTTTCAAGAAAAATCAACAAGTATAAAGTGGATCTGTTAGGAGACAAGAGTCATGCAGACACAATCAGAAACTCTGATAATCTGCATTTAAGATCACGGAGATCTGCACCAAGATACAGGCCTTATCAAAGTGCAAATAAAGGGATGGATGTGAGAAGAAAAAAGATTGAGTTATGATGATACAAAGTAAGCAAGCAAATTTGGATAAGTAGTCTGCCCTTAACGACCTAGTAGTCTGATCAGAGCAACATAGATACTTAAAACTTTATTACAGCACACAATATGAAAAATGTTCAGTGCATACAAAAGACAGTGCCTGATACTAAATGGGAAGTTTTAGGAAATGACCTTTAGAAAAGGAGGTGACGTGACTTAAAGGATGACTAGGAGTTTGGGGAAGAAAGAATTTCTTGGCAATGAAAGAGTATGCAGAGGCTCAAAGTTCTGAAAGGGATTATCTGAGAATTAGTAGTATTCAGTATAACTGGGATTTAGGGTAGTCTGTGGGCATCAGATGATACTTTATGATTTATGGAGTTGAGACTTTGAAGGAGAGGTAGAATTTACAAATGAAGCATTATTTGTATCTGGATACATAGGAAGTTGGTAGGAGAATTGAATGTGTTTATGATAATAAATTTGGTTCTGGTCTCCTTCCCTCCCTTCATTCAGCCCTTACCACTTGCAAGGTACTAATACAGGCACTGAGAGTTTCCATTCTAGGACGAGAGGCAGGCCACAAATAAATATCTTTCATGTCAACTGGCAGTAAGTGCTAGCAAGAAAAGAAAAGAAGGAAATGGAGAATGATAAAGGAAGTACAGTTTTACTGATTGAATGGTTGAGAATATTTCTGGGGATGTAGTGTTTGAGCCAAAGCACTGAATGAAGTGAGGGAGCAGTCTAGTATCCAGAGATGGCTTGTCCACGTAGAGAGAAAAGCTAATGAGGCAGGAATGTGAATGTCGTATTCTTTTAACTCGAAGAAGGGAAGTGAGAATACAGTTGAGAGGGTTGGAGGGACAGTGAGGAAGGAAGAAGGGAGGTCAGAGAAATGGTCAGAAGTGTGGTAAGGACTCGATTTTAGAAGTATAAAAAGCCTTTGCAGGGTTAGTGCAAGACGTATTTGTTTTAAAAGGATCCTTAAGACTACTGTGGGGAACAGAATGAGAGTGCAACAGAAATGAGGAGACTATTACATTCGTCAGAAGATGGTAATGACTTGGACTAGACTGGTGGCAGTGAAGCAGGTAGGAGAGTGATTGGGTAGCAGAGATACCTGATGACAGCCAATAGGATTTGCTGAAATATACATTGACTGATGTTTTAGTATGTTTTAGGCATAATAATGAGCATTGTAGTATCTCTTTCAAAAATCAAAGAAGCAAATACAATATTTAGGTATAAATATATATTTTCCCCTTTTTCCAGGTTTGATTACTCAGGAGTTGGAAATTCAGAGGGTAACTTAGAAGAATGCACAGTGGGGAAATGGAGAAAAGATGTTCTTTCTATAATTGATGATATAGCTGTAGGACCACAGGTGACTGTTTTTGCTAAATATGATGATAATTATTAATTGTAACTATGACATTTAAGATATTATAGATAGGAAAATTGATTTAATATTTTAAATGTTTAACAACTTTGATAAACAATTTCAATTTTAAAATTTTCTGTCATTTTCACATTGTAATATAAGTAGCAATTTACTTTTTATAAATTTTATACTCATTATATTATAGACCTAAAGTTTTACAAAATGTTAATTGAATTCTTTACCAAATATTAGAAGTCCAAGAACTACATCACATTTTTTAAAAAGTACATACATTTCTATTAAACTGTCTCATTGTCTTTGTAGAAAGAAAAATTCCGATTTAAAGCCATATGTGTTGTCATTTTTAGATACTGGTTGGATCTAGCCTTGGTGGGTGGCTTATGCTTCACGCTGCACTTGCACGACCGGAAAAGGTCATGGCTCTTGTTGGTGTAGCTACAGCTGCAGATGCCCTAGTGACACAGTTCAATCAGCTTCCTGTAGAGGTAAGTCACAAGTCCCTTTAGCAACTTCTGTGTATACCTCCTATCATTCTTCTGCCTTCTCTGTCTTTCAACATTTATGTCTCATCTATGCTTTGAGCTACTACACTGACCCATCTTTATCTTCGCTGCCTTTTTGTACATAGTCTGTTTGTCACATTTAACTAACTTGGCCTTTATGACTTCCTTTTTTCAGTCCTTTCAAATTGTGCTGCTAAATAGTTAAACCATTTAATGGATCACACTTTACAGGTTTTTTTAGTCACATCGACTTATTTGGATCATGTATCACGATCTCGTTTTGTACCTCTTATTCTTACTTTGTGGCTTCTGGGCAATAGTGCTGGTTCTTATGACCATGTTAGACTGGACTAATCTATTCTGAAACATTTTAGCCTGAAAGCAGCCTCAGATAATGTCAGCAGACCTTATCAGTCAATCAGTGTTAGCACACTGGAGATAAAATTTTCCATTTCTGGCTTTGTTGCTTAGGTGCCATTCCTTTTCTCCTCCTGATTCTTACCTTAAAGGAAAAAAACTATGCATTTCATTATTAGTGTGCTCTGAAGCAAATCATGATAGAAATGCAGTTTCTGAAATAAATGGAAAGATATTATTATACTGTTATTGGACACGTTTAAACACTTCAGTTGTCAGCAAAGATAAGAAAATAATGAGTGATAACTTTATTTTCTATGTATTTTTGTTTCTTTGTAGTTGATTTTTTTTTTTTTTTTTGATACTGGGGATCAAACTCGGAACCTTGCACTTGCAAGGCAGGCAGCAGAACCACTGAGCTAAATCCCCGGCCCATATGTATTTTTGTTTGTTTTGCAATCAGTTGAGTTCTCCTTGGGGTTTCTTCCTCTTCCCCAAGGATCTAAATTTCACCTGTGAGCCAGACATAGTTGGTGGCCAGTCTGAGGCATAGAAATTAAAGAAAGAAAAACAGTCTAAAGCCAGGCATGCCTGTAATCCCAGCACTCTGGGAGGCTATCACTGAAAGACACAAGTTTGAGCCCAACATGGGAGACTTAGTGAGACACCCTGTCTCAGAATTTTTTTTAAAAGCCTGGGGTTGTAACTCAGTGCAAAGGCCCAGGGTTCAGCTGCCAGTACTGCAAACCAAAACGAAAAACACTCCAGAACACTAGTTCAAGAAGTATGTTCCCAGGCCAGCAGATCAGCGTCACCTAAGAACTTGTTAGAAATGCAGATTCTTGAGCTTTATCCTCAATCAGACATTGAGGGTATGGGCTTAGTAATGTATGTTTTAACAAGTCCCCCAGGTAAAGTTTGAGAATCACTGTTACAGAGAATTCAAGAAGATGAGGAGAAAAGAAAAAGAAGAAAGTGTGTAATGTCAAACAAAGTCACTGACTTTTGGCTCAAGTTCTGCATTGAAATGTGGGCCACATATCATCTAAATTAATTCATAGTTCATCTATGGGCTGGGGATTTAGCTCAGTGGTTCCGCCGCCTGCCTTGCAAGTGCAAGGTCCCGAGTTCAATCCCCGGTACAGAAAAAAAAAAAAAATGTTCATCTAGATCTTCCCACCCAGCTTCTTAAGAAATAATATTGAGTAGTCAAGAGTCCTCAGATTATCTCCTATCAGTGCTAAAATTACGAAGCTGATCTTCTGTGCACTTATTTACAATTTCTGAATTTTTTCACTTTCTTTTTTCTCATACATAGTTGCTCAGTCCTCTTGCTTTTTCCATCATTACATTTTCCTACACTTAAACTTGGACCCTTTCCTCTATCCTCTTAATTCAGAAATACAATGCTTCTCATGGTAGAGAGTCACTCAAGGATATAACAGATTGAAAAGGAGTTTATTACACACTTTGGGGGAGGTATTGGTAAATGACAAAACTATGTACATTTGTTTCTGCATTTGTTTATCTGCATCACTCAGTGAGAGTAAGGTAGATCACTTACTACATGCCCAGGTAGACCTGTAGTCTATAAATCAGGGCATCATACAATTGCTAAACTTAAATTAGGTAAGAAGCAGTTGTTAGCAGAAGCACATTCAGCCCTAGTTTACTTAGGAGTAAAAGCTTGGCTAAGGAAAGAGCAAGGATACTGGAGCCACTGTCTCTTTTCCACACTATCAGCTAGTGTAATGGTGTCAAGGGAGCAGAAGTGGAGGATTGTGCCGTCTTCTATAACCTTGGGACTATGACGTGCAACACTTGTCATTCTTGCCTTGGAACTTGACTGACTATAATCATTATCTTTCTGTGCTAGAGACAGGATCAACAGCTGTTTGGACTCTGAGCTTCTGAAAACCACATTGCCTTGACACAGTCCCTTCTTATATAGAACTTAGTTACTTTACATTGTCTTCACATTGTCTTTGGGTAATACTGCTTTTGTCGGCTCTGAACTTCTTTTTTTTTGGTACAGGGGATCAAACTCAGGACCTTCCGCTTGCGAGGCAGCAGGCGGTGGAACCACTGAGCTAAATCCCTGGACCTGAACTTTTGCTTTTGAGAGTATGAGACATAAAACATTTTATAAAGTTAACTTTGCTCTTCAAGTGAATCATACTCATTCAATTCAGTGGCAGATAACAAAGTTAGTTAGAATTCAGATATGATTAAAATAAAACTATTATTAATTCAATGTTTCAGTAATTTGCATAGCTTCCCTGTCAGCTAATAACCAATGGAACTAAGTTAAAAAATATGTTAAAATGCCTAAATACGTATATATTATGTGTATTTTGTTTTTAAATTCTGATTTTTTATTTTTATATTTCCAGTTAATTATTTTAAACATGGAAAAGTCTTAGAATCTTTATTAAAGCTTACATTTTTTCAAATATGTTGTAAATGGCTTCCCTTTTGTTATAGTTTCCTTTATTTTTTAAAAATTTTTAAATTTTTTTTGGTACTGGGGATCAAACTTGGGTCCTTGCGCTTGCGAGGCAGGCAGCGGAACCACTGAGCTAAATCCCTGACCCAAGTTTTCTTTATATTTGATAAGACGTCCACTTGTTTTTCTAATGAGAAATGCCCTTTATATCGTATGATTTAAAGACCCTTTTACCTATACTTATACCTATACCTATACAAGAGCTTTATACCTATACCTTATACCTATGCAGCCTATTTATATTTTAAATTCTAATAATTTTCCCTAAGAATTTGTTATATACAAAAAGCATTGGTGCTTAAAGATGTCCAGTGTAAGATTAATTATTGACTATTCTGCAGCCTTTAAAAAATTTTTATAAAATTTTTTCAAGCCCAGAAATACATACACTATGTAATAAAGCAGCACAGAAAAATGTATAGGAATGTGTAATAGATGATATATTTTATATAATTCCTATATAAAAATAAAACACTTTGAAAAATATGGAAGAAAATAAGACAAAATATTAATGATTGTGATAACCATGAGGTAGTATTATGAATCATAGTTTAGAAACTTTTGGATTTTCCATGAAAATATATTATTTATTATAGAAAATTCTAATTTGTAATTAGAAAAATTAAGACAAATAAATTATAATCTAAACAGTAGTGATTGTGATAATCATAAAGTGGTATTATGAATAATTTTATAGAAACTCTTGGATTTTTCATGAGAATATATTATTATAGAAAATTCCAATCAGTTGTGGTGAAGTAATACCTTATTTATGAAGTTATATGATGAAGTTAGACAGATCAAAGTTTGAGTCCTACCCATAACCATTTCTAGCTATTAACTTTGAAGATGACATTTAACTTCTCTAAACCTTAGTAGTATCTTCTATGAAAAGGGGAGAATAGCAGAATTATTACCACGATTTTGTGAGGTAATATGTTTGAAGTACCTGTCACAGTACCTTGCACATGGTATTTAGTTTTCGATGCTTATTGTTGTTATACTTTTATCTCTGTCCTCTGATTCAAGAACTGCTTGTTTAAGGCTGTTCAAGATTATTGCAGTGTTAATGTGCGTACATACTTTTGTTTTCCTCGCTTTTCCTCAATAGGTAAAAAAAGAAGTAGAGATAAAAGGCACATGGTCCCTGCCATCAAAATACCACAAAGACGGCTTCTATCGCATTCAGTACAGTTTCATTAAGGAAGCGGAGCACCACTGCTTGTTGCATAGCCCCATTCCTGTGAACTGCCCTATAAGATTGCTCCATGGCATGAAGGATGACATCGTACCGTGGCATACGTCCATGCAGGTGGCTGACCAAGTGCTCAGCACTGATGTGGATGTCATCCTCCGAAAAGATAGTGATCACCGAATGAAGGAAAAGGCAGACATACAGCTTCTTACTTACACGATTGATGACTTAATAGACAAACTTTCAACTATAGTTAACTAGAATCATTTTTAATTGGTATGTAAACTAACATATCCAGAAGATTGCAAGGGGAATAGAAAATCAAAGATCTTAATCCTTTAGGGTTTTCCCTCTTACCTCTGTTTGTAAATATCAGATAAGCATTTATTTAATGCTTATCTGTCTCTGCACAGATAATACAAATTGTGGCAAAAATACCGGCTGCTGTTTGGACAATTTTCTCCTTCCTATAATCTTTCATTTTTTAATTAAAATAATTCCTATTTTTTATCCAAGAGATGTTTACCTTTCTTATGATTATGTTAGCTGGGCCAGCTCTTATGCTCTTATCTACTTAGAATTATTAATAAAGCTTGAATACTTTGGTTTTTGTTGTTTCTATTATATATAGAAATTTATAAAATAATTTCTGATTTTAAAATGCTGCAAAATACAAGAAATGTTTGTTGAAATAAATTGAAATGATTGAAGAACTATCTGATGCATAATAAAGTTTAAAAGTAAAAATATGTCATATTTGAACTTACAAAGTTTTGCTTTTCTAAAGGCTCACAACTGTCCACAGTGATAGGAGGAGCTATTTCTCCATTTTGGCTTACATGTCATGTTTAAATGGGAAATTCATCTTAATGATGTATCATTTCTACATAATAATTGGTGAAACTGAGAAAATTGATCTTTCTACATGAATGCCTACTTGCAGAAATATTTTGTCAATAAGAGCTGGGTGTTTGCCACTTAAATCAGAGGACTTCTGAAGTGTGGAGTCAGTAAAAAAATACATGCAAGTATAAAAGGGTTTTTTTCATAATTAAAATGATCATGTATAGTGATCAGCCTTGATGTTATTGAGTTGGTGTTTTTTAGCTATTAATTTTGGCTAGACTTTAGTCTGGTTGGCTTGTGTCTGTCAAAGTAAAACTTTTATTAAGTCAGCAACATGACTCATACATAAAATGAGCATGTGTTAGAGATTTAACTCATTAATGAGGGAGCCGGCAGATAGTAAACCTGGTTCAAAGAACAGTTTAAGAAATGGAGTATTTACAGGCATTGAAGAAAAGAATTTGGGATGAAATTGCAGTGCAGAGAAGTGTTCTCTAGCAGACTGGCTGGTTATCCCTAGAGACCTGCTTTATGAGGTTGGCCACTGGCTGGCATCTGGGAACTTGAATTTCAAGTGGCTTCCACCATCCCCACAACTGCGCAAAGTAGCTTGCTGTGCTTAAGCCATCTACAAACAATAAGGCTTGTGCTGAACAGCTGCTTTTCTTCTTGGAGTCCAAAATTTTGTATGCACTAGGTAGACTACCTATGAAACCAGCCGCCAGTAAAAACCCCAGGCACTGAGTCTAACAAGTTTCCTTGGTGAGCAAAATTTCATATGTGCTGTTGTAAGCCATTGTTGGAAGAACTAAACTCAGTCTCCGTGACCACTGGAAGAGGATTCTGAACACTTGCACTTAGTTTCATCAGACTTTACCACACATGTTTTTGTCCTTTGCTGATTTTACTTTATGAAATATCATACCTGTGAATAGAATATATGCCGAGTCTTGTGAGTCCAAGCAAATCTTCAAACCTGAGAATGGTCTCAGGGACCCCTGATGCAGATACGATTAAGTTACAATCCATGAGTAATCTAGTATACCTCAGAGAAATCACAAATTAAAAAAGAGGAGTGCCTGGGGCTGGAATGGGTTGTTAGAGGATGACCCTGGCTATTGTAGGGCCTATTGTGCCTAGACATTGCTAGTCATGCAGATTACTAGGAAAATGAAAGAGGAAAAGAAAGGCCCTATGCATGAGAATATTCTGAGGTTTTACATAAAATGTAATAAATATGGTAGAGATTCATAGAGTACATGTAGGGCAGTACATTTAGCTTTCCAGAGATTGAAAACATATTCCAAGAGATTGATTGTGTTTTTCAGCCCATTGTTAATTACTCTAGTATTTTTTCCACTTTCCCCGCAAGCTCTTTTTTTTCTGGAATTAACTCTGTGCTATGTATTCAGCAACACATAAAATGCTTGTAGAGCCAGCATACCCTGCACACCTTATCATTTGGAATTCCTGCATTATTCTAAAAGTGGTGTAATCCCTGCAAACCCTCTCAGCATGTTCAGTGAAAAAGAGTAAGGCAAATACCAATTGAAAAGAACGCTAATTGAGCCCACATAATATATTACTCTGCATCTTCTGAGTCCCAGAAAATCTTCTGTTAAGCTTAGCAAGTTCCAGACACATATGTAAACAATATGTCATTCTCTGATCCTTGGAGGAGAGGAAGAAAAGAGCTCTGGACAGGCTGTTTTATAAAGCATGGAGACAGATAAGGGAACTTTCCTCACCTCATAACTTCCTAGACAGTCCCCAAAGTATGTCAAAGTCCATTACATTTGGAACAGTTAGGGAAAAACATCTAAAGAGCTCCTATTTTCTGGAAGAGGGAAGAAAGCAGGTGAAATTTAAATGCAGTTATTCCCAGATACCTACGGGGTTTGTTCCAGCACTCCCAGAGGACATCAAAATCCTAGAAGTCCCCTATTTCTCCTATAAAATGGCATAATATTCACAGTAACCAACACACATCCTCCTGAATGTTTTATTTAGATGGTCTCTAGATCACTTACAATAACCTAACACATTGAAAATGCTGTGCAAATCATTGTTATGCTATGTTTTAGGGAACAATGACAAGAAGTCTGTACATGTTCAGTGCAGACAGACACACAGTTTTCAGTCATTTTTGATCCTCATTGGGTTCCTCAGATGCAAAACCTGTGAATACATAAGGACAACTGTATACCTTTTAAAAACTCCTCTAAATAGAGGTCCAATATAACTTGTTAGAAACACTCATGTAGTATATAGAACTTGTATGAAAACATGTGATGCTTAGTGTATTTAGAGAATATATCTAGAAAACCTCAGGCATTTTAAAAATCCAATATGTATTTTGGGGAAAATATCCTTTCTCATTATATCTTCCTTTTCCTAAGCTTTCAGATTTTTTTCCTATAGTTTACAATTCTACCCAAAAAAAAAGCTTAATTTGTTTTTCATTAATGTTTCCATCAGTGACAGAAGGTCCAGTGCCTGCCAGTTTCTCTGTGAAGCCCTTCCTGATTCATCCCCATCTCTTTTTTCCAGAAAGTTGGTTGCTGGATTCTCTTTTCTCATGAAGAGCGCTCTATCCCCATATTTCTTCCTGCTTTGAACTTCTCAGCCAATGTATCAGCCTCCTCGCAAAGGACCTTAAGCAATATCACTGGTGTTTATGGTTTTAACTACTACCTGCATGCAGGATTCAAGTACATTCTACAATCTAGATTTCCCACTTCAACTCCAGACTCACAAAACTAACTGAATAATTAACTCAGACCTTGAGCCTTCCCATTGTGGTTAACTCAAATCTTACTATCTTTTCCCCTTCCTGTATTACCCCACCTGTAAGTTTTTTTTTTTTGCTTTTTGACACAAGGTCTTACTATGTAGTTCAGGCTGGCCTTGAACTTGAGGCGATCCTCCTGCCTCAGCCTCCTGAGTGCTGGGATTACAGGTGTGTACTACCACTCCCGGTTACCTGTAAGTCTTTTTGCCATAGATAGCACCACAATCAATTACTCAAGTCAAACTGTGAGCCATTCTGATAGTTCCCAATGAAAATTTTCAAATTCTTTTTCATGATACACAATTCCATTCAAAGATGATAAATATTAGCAAATAGCTTGGGGCGGGGGCTGATTTGTAACCATGCCAACATCCATTGCATTATGTAAGCACTCCCATCATGGCTGGTCTCAAACTTCCACCATGACATCTCTGAATATGAAGTTGGGAAGAAATGCCCAGTAGCATACCATTCCACAGGGTTTGCAGCATTCAGAGACAATAAACACAAATATCCTCAAAAACATAGGCAATGGGGAAATGTAGCAAAATAAGCTTTTGCTTTGAGTACTTAACCTTTGTAATTAATTCATTTAAGAGAAAATTAATGTAATGTAATTGCTATAAATGGCTACATTTAAAAACTGGCTCTCAAAATTCATGAAAATTTATCCATGAGTACTTGCAAGCATTGTACTTTATAATTGGGATCCTGCTTGAGAATCCAGTTGCATTTTCTTTCTGTGTCTCCCCTTGGGCCCTATGCTTTGTTGATTAGGAACATTTTCACCTTCTTAAGTAAGCTGTCTTTGCCATCAGTACTCTGTGGCCTCCTTCCTAACCCCACCCACCTGGCAAATACTTATGTATCTTTCAACATGCAAAGTCATCTCATTTATAAACATTTCCCTAATTCCCTAACCCCTTCCTCTGGGTTAAGTGTAACAACATGAGCGCCTCATGCATACTTTTACCATGAGATCTGGCTGGTGTTTATTGTTTACAATTTTAACTTTACTACTGGACCAATTTACCATGCTTCATTTTTATACCTTAGACACATAGGCCCTTGGAAATTTTATTGAAAAAAAAAAAAGTAACTCTAATGCTAGTCAGCATTCAGTAATGCACATTCAGGGTGAGCCAATTTCCAGGCAATCCAGCATTTTTCCTCTAAAGGTTTCCTCTGGATTTCTAGACACTTACACCCTATGCCTTGCTGTCCCCACCCCCAACCCCCACCACTGCATCCTCTCCAGAGCCATAGGTTCAGTCCCTCACTTGAAGCACACTACCTTTTCTGTTATAAAGGAAAGGAATCCCTGGGTACAAAAGATCTGTGGGTAGGGGGCGAAGAGAAGAGAAATATAAAAGAAAATGACAAATGGACATCCTTAGAATCCTATCTAATTTTTTTAATAACAAACAAAAATCTTCGGACAAATGCCAGTCTCGGAGAAAGAGACATGCTTTCCGATTGGGCCTCTGTCCCTTGAGTCCCAGATGGGAACTAACCTTATTGCTGCTGTCCCAGAGGCAAACTGTGACTTTCATAATTCTGCTGCTGATCTGCCTGCTCTCTGCTTTCCCCCTAAGCTCCAAGTCTCTGGAGACAGTTCTGCTGGTGTTTGAATTTCAACAGATTCCATGAAGCAACAAGCTAGCTCTTTAGCTCTTTCTAAAACTTCTGCTCTCTGCTTGTTCCCCAAGTCTTCAACTACTGGCCAAGTCTTTTTTTCAGGCAAACCACTCATACTAAGTAATTAAATTTTCATTAGTCTAGGCCCCAGACGGCAGAATATTTCTCAATACATATATTATTTGAGGAATCATTTCCTGCATAGCTTCTAGTCAGTTTCCCACAGGGAAAATAATCACTATCCTAAGTACTAGATTTGCTTTACCTAATGGGCTTGAGTCAATTTACCAACCTTTTCTAGAGCCAGAATTATATTTTGTTTTTTATAGTCCAGTATTTGACACAGTTAAGTATGCAATAAATATTTATTGGATGAAGAAATGAAGCAAAGAACAAACACTTGGGTGTTTTTCTCATGAAAATTACCAAGATATTTACTTAGCTCCAGTGAGACTTCATCCTTAACCTCAAGTAGCTTACACTCTAGGAGTACAAACCTCTAACCCACTGGAAAAAAATTTATGAAAATTTCACCTCAACTTAAACCAAATTATTTCTCCTGAGGTTGTATCTGTTTGTGCCAACATTCATACACAGATGACATCTACACACTTTCAAAACCTTTCACCATAAGAATTCTTAGGACATTGCTTTTTGTTTAATTTGTAAAACTTGCTCTTAGTGTCTTTTAGTTTGAAGAAGCATTAAAGAGGCAAATCTCTTGAATAAAACTACACTGAGGGGCAAGGTTTACCCTTGCACGATGGAAGTTTCTGGATGAAGCCTAGCTGACAGCTGAACTAGTGAATGATTGTGGCTCTCAGTCCCCCCGCCCCCAACCCCACCCCATTGATCCCGACAGACAGTTGCTATAGGGGCAGGGAAAAAGTGGTCTGGCTTCTCCCGACAGATGGAAGTTAGCAGAACTGACCCTCCCACAGGCCCTGGGCTCCTCGTGCAGCTGGCTGGTGGCCTTGTGTACAATCGCCGGCTCCCGGAGGACGAGATGGCATTGTGCGTCTGAGAAAGGCGCTCCCAGCGGGAGGGAGGCAGGCGGGCTTGCCTGACGCGGGAGAGGGTTGGCTTTTGGAGGGCTCTTAGCAACAGCCCTGATCTGATCCTCCTCGGGCCCAGAGAAAACCAAATCAGTGTGCCTTTCTTCTCGCGCGATGCGGCGGCAGCAGCTGTACGTCAAAGCCACCTTCCTCCCGGCCTGTGAATAACCTGCTCTCTCAGATCGCAGGGTCCCTGGCTTTGTAAAGCGCTGCTGAGAGGAAGAGGACACAACCACGCCCAACCCCCCTTGCTGCCTGGGGGTTTGAGGCTGGACTGTGAGTCCGGGTGCAGCATCTCCTCTCCTTGATAGGCGGGACTGAGAGGGCTTCCAGTCCACCCCCGCCCCCGACAGGGGCTTTATTCTAGTCACCAGCTCTCGTGGCTGCGCTTTCGTTTCCCGTTTGTAGGTGAAACCCCATTGGCTTCGTTGGCTCCTCGATTTAAACCACGCCCGGCTTTCTGCTCGCTTTGCTGCTGCAGGCCCGGGGCCCCCGGCCACGTCCTAGCCCGGTTTGCAGGGAGTCGGGGCTGCCGCTGCGGCTCTCGTGTGCATGCCGTGCGCCTCCTCTCCTCTCTTCCAGAGATGGCTAACAGGGGCCCGAGCTACGGCTTAAGCCGCGAGGTGCAGGAAAAGATCGAGCAGAAGTACGACGCGGACCTGGAGAACAAGCTGGTGGACTGGATCATCCTGCAGTGCGCCGAGGACATCGAGCACCCGCCCCCCGGCAGGGCCCATTTTCAGAAGTGGTTAATGGACGGAACGGTGAGGCGAGGCCGGCGGCGATCTCGGTGGCTAGGGCGGTGGGCAGGGAAACCCTCCCCAGGGCCCTTTCTTTCAGGGGGGGAACCGCGGGAGGAGCGGCTGTTGCCCAGCTCTGCGTCTCACCGGGAGGTGATGGAAATGCCTCTATCTCTTCAGGGTTGGAAGATTTGGGCTTCTTGCACAATTCCCTATCTAGACTAGAGGATTCTCCACCCATCTGAGCATAATGGTTTCCTTCTGAGTTATCTGAGCTGTTGGCAAATGTGAAGCCCTTTTTGATGTTTCCACTGAGAAAAAAAGACGTTTTTCCTTAGATCTCCCCACTCTTCTTAGTGCATCTGCTCTTAGGGGCCATTTCTTACCCCGAGGGAACTGGCTGGGTACTGTGAAACAAAGAGAGGAGGTGGGGGGGCTGGCCACTTTCCCAGACTTCTGGGGAGCCGCGCTCCCGGAAAGACTCAGTTGAATGGATGGGGTCTCAGGTACACGAAGGGAGTCTTTATTTGATAACTGCTGTTCTGACCATATGCTTGCGTGTGTTTGGTGGTCTGAGGACTCCAGGGTTCGCTGATTCAAGCAAGTCTGTCGTTTTCCACAAGCAGTGATTTACTGTTACATAACTGCTATCCCATGAATTTATCGGGTTGCCCAAGACTCGGTTTAGAGGTGCCTGGAAGGAGGACATCCATTCCACTTGTACACATACGGGATCGTTACTGGAGACTGATTCTGATCTGCGTTTGATAGAGAGCTCATCAAACCGTCCCCTCCCAGGACCATGGACACAGCCCTCCACTGAAAGTGTGGAGTCCTGTCCTCACCGCCTCGAATCATTGCCTATGTGTAAATATTCTTTCCCTCGCCCTGGAAAAGGAAGGGAATGGCTTCCCCTGCGATCAGTACAGCCGTGGCCATAGGGTGGTCTGGGTTTGGGGATCTCATATAGGAGCCTAGTTACACAGCCCTGAGCCTGTGCCTTCCTGGTGCCCAGGACTTTCTCTTGCCCAGATGTGAGTTGTGCTTCATGGGGTATGTTGGGGGCCGGGAGTGGCAGGTCTCACTTCTTATCTGTGACATTAGTTACAAAAGGAAAGACTGATTCTGTGACCCCTCCACTCCCTTCAGGTCCTGTGCAAGCTGATAAACAGTTTATACCCACCAGGACAAGAGCCCATCCCCAAGATCTCAGAGTCAAAGATGGCTTTTAAGCAGATGGAGCAAATCTCTCAGTTCCTAAAAGCTGCGGAGATCTATGGAGTCAGGACCACTGATATTTTCCAGACTGTGGATCTTTGGGAAGGTAAATGGCCTTTTCTGCCTTGGATCTGTCCTCCTTCCTCCTACCCCTCCCTTTCGCCTAGCTCTCCATGAAAACCACTCACAGTGTTCTTCCCTGTGCTCTCAGTGGTCTTCTGAGGCACTGTTAGCCTCCCGCTTTGTGGTGGGTGCTCTCCTGTACTGAACAATACACCCTGAGGAGGCAGTATGGACCTCAGCAAACTAGTGTAAACAGAAGCCTCCACAGAGAGGAAGCGCAATTGGTGACATGGATGCCTTTTATTCCTGTCACCCTGCCATCACAAATCACAGCTATTGGAAGGGAGGCAGGGGCGACTACACTTCTGACTCACCAGCAGCAAGGCTTGTAGACAAAGGCCTCTGCTGCTATTTTGTCATTCAATCTGAGAAGTAAATTGCACTCCAATCTTTTTTTGACTAATTATCTGGGAGCTTGGTGACTATACCTTTCAGATTGGTATTCTGCTCAAAGAGTGTGATAAATGGTTTTTTTCTTTCACATTTGTCATCTCACATTTGTTTGAATTGACTTGGTGAAGAAATCTCACAAAGGTAAAAAGCAAATCACATTCCTACGCATGTTTAGTAATCCACCATTATTGGAGAAAATGATGTGAATGGAAATTCTGCCCGAGTAGTCTCCTTTAATGAAAATATGTGTGTCTGTCCACACAGCTGTGCCCTTTCTGGATTACACCTGCCTGAGGCACTGAGAGAGACAGACTAGTCTGAGCAGAACTGCTAGATTGACTCACATGCTCACTGTCGCTGGCTGTCATTGTGCCCTAACCAACAGGATCTCCAGAGCCGTGATCCAGATGGCTTTTTGACAGGGAGAATGGGATAACATTCCTCTGGATGGTTGAAATAGTTTTCTAGCAGAGGACCATCCTACCAAGCAAATTATAAAGAAATATTTACCTCATTAATCCTCTGCATCCTTCAGGGAACTACTATTTATGTTTCCCTCACAGATGAGTGAAGTCTTAGGACCCCAAGGAGTTTACCCTGTTTTTTACCATTACATAGAAACTTTGATATCTAGAACTTCAGCCCAAGCCATTGGACTTCATGGACACTTGCTTCCAAATCCCCACATGACGCCATGGTCAATGCTTCCTGTAACAAAACTATGAGGATTTTCCCCAGTTAATAAAGACAGCTTTGACTTAATGACACTCTTCTGCACATTGGGTAGGTGCTTTACTGCATAATGCCAGTGATTTCTTCTATCAAAACTATGAGATGTTTTTAATTTCCCCATTTTGTAGATGATGAAGATTGCCTATGGCTACATGTGTTCATCAGAGACCTAGTATAGAACAGCCTCAAAGCCAGGCTTTCTGATGCCAAGGAATAGGACCTAACTACTCTGCTAGGCCATTCCTTAAACAGGAAGCTTAGTTTCCATCACCTACAGAGTGAGTCATAAGGATGACTAGCTGATGACAATGAAGAGGAGGACAAGGAGGTTGAGTCAAGGCTGTGTGGGACTGAAAGACAGTGTTAGTGTGAATGAAAAGGACCCTGGTGAGATCTCCAAGTGCAGGAAGTTTGGAGGAGGAGAAAGAAACTGGGAAGTCTAGAAGGTGGGGATCCTGAGGAAGCTTTCCCATCTTTACATTGTTGAGGAGGTTTTACTTCCTTTCCCCTTTCTCCAAAGCCATGAGGGTGAGTTTTACACCTGGAAGGTACTTGCAACAAGCAGGGAAGGAGGGAGGGAGCAATGTTTCTGCTGAACATACTACATGAGGTTCCCACCACCACTTCAGCCCTGTGTATTGGATCCTCCTTAACAAAAAGGAAGGACAGGAGGCATGAGTGTGATTGCAATAGCTTGAGATAGAGCAGTGGACAGGTCAGCTCCAGGGAAGACTAATGCTTCCAGGGAAAAAGAACAGGACAGACACCCCAGCTTCCATCCCCAGCACATAGGAAGGATAAGGCTTTAAAGGAAGAGAAAGATAGGAACTGATTCCAAAGGTACTATGACTGACAGTCCAGATAGACCATGGACGAAGTAGGAACTGGCAATAGGGAAGCAGATTCTTTAGCATTTTCAAATGATCCCTCGAGACCCCAGGGAAGATTAAAGTTCAGGGCAGTTCATTGTGAATTGGACATGACACAAAATTTTCCAGGGTCTGAAGCTCAAGACAGAGCTGGTTAGCATGCTGTGGAGCAGGAGGTGGAATTTTTTGTTTTTTAATTAATTAATCAATAATATTTTACAGCAAAGATGTGGAGGGAGTTGGACTAGTGGTGTGAGCAGACAAGGCCAGGGTCCTTTCTGTAAGAGCTAGCAAGAGCCGGCCAGGTTCCTTTCTGCAAGAACTGGCTGCTCATGATTTTGGGGATGACTAAGCTGGACTCAAAGCCATGCTGCAGGGAGGGCTGGCATGTGTTGATGTATCTGTGCCGGTGTGCGGGCATAGGCATTTGTATACACAGCTATTGGACTAGCATTTGCTTAGTGTAGTCCCACACTCCCCCTGAAATCCCACTCCCTGACTGAGGTGTCAGTGCTGTCCCCACATTTCAGTTGGCTCATGTTGGTTCCTGACTCCCTGCGCCGAGGTTGTGGTGGCTGTGGCCACTGTAGTCCCGCCCTCCTTTCCTGGGTATTTCTCTTCCTCCTCTGCAGGTATTTTGGGCTCCTCTGGTCTCACTCTACCTTTCCCAGACTTGGCATCTTCTTCCTAAGGAGGCTCTGCCTGCCCCGAGTTGCCCAGTGACCTTACCAGCTGCCTCATGTGAAGACCAATAGAGCTGCCCCGGCCCAGACTTGCCAGATCCCTTTCATCTACTCAATTAGTTATGTAGGCAGGTGTCCCTGTTGCCTCTGCTGTCCCTAAACCCTTTTGAGGTAAAATGTTTAGAATGGATATGGGGGCAATCAGAAACAAGATTCCTCAAAAAGATACCAAAGACTGAATGATCCAGGAAACAACCCCATCACAGGAACATTGTAGACAACACTATGGAAGGCCTCTCTGGGAGTAAGTTGGGATCACCAGTCCTTTCAGTGATGGCAAGGAGGGGAGGGAAGATTACAGGAAGTATTTCTCTCGGATGAGAGAAGGTGAATGGCAGGTTCCTTCCAGGTTTGCCATGGGTTCCAGTTTGTGACTCAGAGGAGAGTACACTGTAGCTAAGACTTCAGCATCATTCTGCAAATAGACGGGGAAGAGGAAAGAAAGGAGGAAGAAAGGGAAGTGTGCGTGTGTGTGTGTGCGCGCACGAGCAGGTGTGTAAATGTGTAAGAGAAAAAACAATGAGAACAAGGAAGACCACTGGTCTAGCCTCTGGTCAGAAGGGTTGCAATGAAATCTTATCCAGGAAGATATAGTATCCTGCAGGGTCCTGAGTCAGGAATTAGACTGCCTGCATCAAACCTTCCATCACCACTTAGCAATTAACTTCTCTGAGCCTTGATTTTCTTGGGTATAAAGCAGAGAGAATAGCACCTATTACACAGGATTGATATGGAGAAAAAATGAGGTGATACATTGGGAGTGGTGAGAGTAGTGCCAGGCAAAAAGAGTATGGTAAATGTTGGCAATGTAAAATTGTTCTTGTCATTCACCTGTCCTTTCTGAGACTAATCAAACATGGAGGAGGAACAAGGCTGGAAAGACATATATTCTTCCTAAAACAAATAGGCTTAACGGCCACACACAGGAGCTGAAGTGGGGTGCCCAGATGACCTTTGGCCTCTCTGCCCTCTGTGAGTTCTCCACCCGCCTCGCCCATTCTCCAAAAAAAAGGGGCTAGTTTTATGCTCACTTTATTGACTGTTTTTCACTTATTGGTCATTGCCTCTTTGATATTTTTCTCCATGATATGTTGCTTTGCTAATTTCAGGCTCAAAGCTCCCTGGTACAGTGGAAAGAGCATGAGTTTGAAGTAAAGTAGACAGGTTGAAACACTTTGTTAGTAGCCTATTTGTTGTGTGACCTTGTTTAATTTGCTTAGCTTCTTAGAATGTCAGTTCTCTTCTCTGTAAGCTGGCCTAGCACTCCCTCATAGGGTTCTTATAGGGCTTAAATGTGTAAAATGCTTAGCAGAATGCCTGGCTTCTAGACACCTAATAAATGTTGGCTTCTCTATCCCCACTATTAGCCCATCAGCAACTGACCTTTTTAGTTTATTTGAATAATCACTTGGTGAGTATTAAGCATAAAAAAATTCTAGAAGGTCAAAGCAAACAATACTCAAAGATCAATTGATCTTTTGTCAGTAATCGGACAAGGATTCTAGATATAGAGTTTTGTAAATGCCCGTTTCCTTCTCTTGATGACTGGTAGGCTGCTTGTATCAGTGAAAGCTCTAGAAGGTTCATTATCACTGCGAGTGTCAGGTAGCAATGGACACTTTGACTTGATGATAAAATATTCCTTGTTTCCTAAACTATTACCAAGCAATGAGCTGTGGTTTACACTGGGAGTAGAAAGCCTGAAAAGTTCAAATATATTATCTGGGGAGGTGTCACTATATGTGCCATTCTTCAACAGCAGAAGAGAAGAAACATTTCACCCAGTGTGAGAGATATTTTAGGATGTCTCAGGGAGCTGTAGTGACCTGGGATGTAAGGAATGCCTACTGCTTGAAGCCTCCTTTTATATCAGGGCAGCTTTCACTGCCTTTACTGTAGTGGCTACTGATAATAGTAGTTGCTGGGTTTTTCCTTCAGAAAGGGGTTCTCAAACTCTAGAATGCATTGGAATCACTTAGTAGGCCACAATCCCAGAGTTTTTGAGATATTAAGTCTGCGGTAAGGCCTAAGAATTTGCATTTCTTGTCAATTTGCCGGTAATCCTGCTTCTGCTGGCCTGGGAATCCAACTTTGAGAAATACTCCCCTGTACAGTTTCTTGTCCCTCACGCTGAGGAAGCAAGCAACAAAAATTCATAAAACCTGCAGAACAAAACCAACTTACCTTCTCACATTCTTTCTCGACTACAGCAATATTTTCTTTACCTTGAGTGGAGAATCAGAGGC